ATTTCCATTTCCATTCATCTTCGATAGTCAGTGATGGTAGTTTGTTTGGTGTGTATCTTTCCATAACTTTCTCAAGCTCCTTTTTAAATAGACATAGGGTTTGAATGTATATGTGGCAATTTGTTTTGTCAGAAGTGGGATCATACTTTGTTCATTACTTTGTAACTTATTTTTTGCACTAAATAATAATCGTTCACTCTTTAAATAGCTTTAGGCTATAGAAGGAAGAGTACACTACAGTATATTCAACCGTTTCTTTTTCGACAGATATTTATGTACCTGGCTGCTGTGGTCTGGATGTGCTCTGTCTTGCCAGAACTCGTGTTGAAATCTGTTTGCCAATGGAACCTTTCAGAGGAATTAATGTCTTTCCCCAGAGGCTGGGTTCTCATGGGAATGGATTAGTTCTTTCTAGAGCAGGTTGTAATAAAGCAGGTCAGCTCCTTTGTCCCCTCCTTGTCTTCTGCATATATCCTCTCCCCTTCTGCTCTCTACCATGAGGCCCTGACTAGAAACCAAGAAGACTCAGAACTGTGTGCCAAATCAAACCTCTTTTCTTTATAAATTTTTCAGTCTCAGGAATTCTGTTATAGCAGGAGAAAACAGACTAAGACACTGTTTTTGCCACTGAAAAATATTGTTGTATTAAATATCTTTTTTCCTAAATAATTTAATCATTATTTTATTTATTTAATTAATTTTTTATGTGGTGCTGAGGATTGAACCCAGGGCCTCATATGTGCTAGGCAAGTGCTCTACCACCGAGCCACAACCCCAGCCCTAAATATCTTTATATTCATATCGTACTTTATTGATAATATTATTTCTAAAGATTGCATTTTTTAAAACTAGTATTATTTGACATCAGATAGATAATACCATCCTATTTTGTATAGAGTCATGGTAATTTATATTCTCTAGTATATGAGTACTTCCAGTTTCCTAAATCTTTACCAATGTTAAATGCTCTCTTCCTTCTTCCTTCTAGTTTCTTCCTTCTACTCTCTCTCCCTCTCTCTTTCTCTATCTCTGTTGTTTTATTTTATGGCAAGGCTGATGGGGGGAAATCGTGTCCCATAGTTGATTATCGTCTAGTGAGGTTGAACTTTGTTTCACGTTAATTGACTGTTTCATCTTTCTCTTCTGTGAATTCCCTTCACCTGTTTGTATGAATTATTTGCCTTTTTCTCAATAACTTGTAAGATTGCTTTATATATTTGTTCATTAATGATGATGCCATTGTGCCACAGATATTTTTTAATTGATCATTTGCATATTTTATTATAAAGGGTTGAATTTTTATTATAAAATATGTGAGCTTTATGTTTTTCTCTTCATGATATCTGCCTGTTTAGGAAAAACTTTTCAACCTCAAAGTTAAATAAGTATTATTCTCTGTATTCTAATGCCTTCATCATTATAATTAATTTAATCCAGAACTTTTAGTCTTTTTGGAATTTGTGTTTATATAGTAAGAGGAAATGGTCCAGCTTGTTCTAGTTATGCCAGCACCATTTCTTAAATAAATCATCTTTTTTCTTTTGCATTAAAATTTCATGATTTTTATAAATAAGTTTCTTTATTGTATCTATTTTTGGACCTGTTTTTCTAGTTCACACATCTGTTTGTCTATACTTATGTTAATATATGATCTTGTATTCTAATGTCTTTATAATAAATTTTTACTGTCTCAAAAGACAAATCCTCCATTTTTCTTGACTATTTCTTGGCCAGTCTTCTGAGATCCTTATTTTTCCATATGAACTTTAATGTTACCTCCCCAAAATGTATTGATATTCTGACTGAAATCTAATAAAAATGATGTAGTCATTTGGAAAAGATTGACATTTTTTTCATAATTAGTCTTTTCCATTTTTTTCTATTCTGGGCTCAAATCCAGGGCCTTGCACATGCTAGTAAGTGTTCTTCACTAAGTCACATCTCTAGCCTGATAATTATCTTTTCTAAACAAGAACTTTCTACTGACTTGGCACCTATGGATTCTATTTCTGATTTTTGTTTTTATCTTTAAATTCTTAATATTTATTATTAGATTAATTTATCTAAAGTAAAATAATATTTCTATGTTTATCCTGAATCATTAGGAACTTTAAATCTCAGTGACTCAGGGATTAGAGGCATACACCACCATGCCTGGCTGTTTATTTTAAAACTTTAAAAAAAATTTTTTTTTAGTTGTGATTGACCTTTATTTATTTACTTATATGTGGTGCTGAGAATCAAACCCAGTGTCTCACATGCCAGGCAAGCACTCTCCCAACTGAGCCACAACCCCATCCCCTATTTTAAAACTTAGGGTATAAAGTGTGTATACTTTTAAAATGTGAATATACACAAATGCTTCACTTTTCCTAAACATAATAATCATTTATATTTTTATTAAAAAGCCGTAATACATGCAATTTTATAATATACTTTTTTTAAATATTAATTTTTTTAGTTGGACACAATACCTTTATTCCATTCATTTATTTTTATGTGGTACTGAGGAACGAACCCAAGGCCCTGTGCGTGCTAGGCGGGTGCTCTACTGCTAAGCCACAATCCCAGCCCTTACAATATCTTTTCAACAATCAAGCATGAACATCTTTCCATGTCAATACAGTGAAATCTTTCTCCTTTGAAATAGCTGTATGGTTTCTTATTGTACTGCAATTAACTGCAATTTAACTTTCTTTATTAACAACTAAGTCATTTCACTTGTTGTTTGCTACTACAAATGTTTTGCTGAATTCCTTTAGAGTCTTCTGACTATATCTATGGTATATCCTGGACATTTGGCTGTCTCAGAGGATGTGCATATTTAATATGTAAATCAATAATGTGAACTTGTCCTCCCAGAAAGATTATTTCAGTTTACAGCTCAGAGTGTGTCTGGATCTAATCTCTCCTTTTCTTCTGGTTCTTTAGAATTTTCACACTGATTAACCGAGAGTGGAACATCTGAAGAGATGCAAGCAAGAAAAAGAAATTAAACCAGGTGGGTAGTCACGCTGTTCATGCCACTCTACCATAGCTTCACAATTTTTGCCTGGATGCCTTTTTTCTTTTTCAAGAAAGAAAACAAATAGATTTCAAATGAAATTAGAGAAGAATTTTGGTCTCACGAAGAAAAGGCAGGATGGCTCTTTTCAGAAGTTATATAACATCATGCCACAATTTCACAGGCATGGTTCCATTTACAGGCAGTTTCTTTATAGCGTCAGAAAGACTACCTCTGGTGGCCTGATGGGTTTCTTCAGCCATGTACATGAGCAGATGGAGTCATACACAAGACTTATGAGCAACTTTGGGTGTGACGCCAGATTTTTTCTCTACCTAATATTTGTTATAAAGCTATTTTTGCAAAGACCAGGACAAATAATAGGAATTTTCATTGTAAGGCTGTGTTAGAGGAACCAAAGCAACAAAACCCAGCCCAAAGAAATGAGTACGGGCTGGGGAGTGGCTCAGGCGGTAGCGCGCTCGCCTGGCATGCGTGCGGCCCGGGTTCGATCCTCAGCACCACATACAAACAAAGATGTTGTGTCCACCGAGAACTAAGAAAAAAAATAAATATTAAAAAATTCTAAAAACAAAAAGAAAAAAAAAAAAGAAATGAGCACGACCCAGCAGTATGGTGAGAAGGGATGGTGCAGGTCCTTTCCATGTGGAAACAGTTCCATCTGGAGCAGTTCATCCAGCCCGCCAGGAAGTATGGCCACCTTGGGTCAGTGTTCATAGTTTTATGCTATCTAAATGCTTCTGGCCATAAGTTAGTAATTTTAAATCCAAGGTAACATGATAGCTAGCTTTTCATCTAAAGCACTTCTGTGAATCTGGTAAATCTCTGCCTTGTCATGTTGGGAGTACAGGGTCCAGGGTCCACGGAGGTCTTCTCACCCACCCAGGCATTCATGGATGTAACCATTAAGGACATCAGAACCAAAGGCCACACAGCTAGCCTACACCTGCCTGGGTCTTTTCCATAGCTAGAATCGTCACAAATATGCCAGCAAGCCTGGGGATGAGTTTTTCTCTGAAGAGCTTGTCAGCCCATTGCGCTTTTGTGCCTAAATTAAGGAGTGTGTGTGGAGAGCAGACTTGATGTTTTCTGTCTTCAGCACTGGGTCAGAACAGTGAAGCTCTGTCTGGTGTGCAGCTTGGTGTAGATTCCTGCTGTGGCCTAGAGAAGTGCTTCTCATTTGTGCATTTATTCAGCAGTGTTTATAGAGCATCTCCTGGGAACTGGACTCTGCAAACCAGAGCAAAGTGGCAGACACAGTCTTTACCCACGAAGCTAATGGTCAGTAGATGAGTGACAGTTGCCTAGGTGCAGAGGGGACTGAGACCAAAAGGCATGCTAGAGATGGCCTGGATTGGAGTGGGCCAGAGCAAGGTTGCGGGCCTAGTGGCAGCATGGGAACAGCCTGGGGGCTGGAAAGGGCACACGCTCCCCAGGAACCACACGTGCTTCTCGGGGCTTCACAGTGCAGAACAGAGGCCATGGCTAGAGTTGAGTATTCAGGTGGCTACGAATGAGTCTGGGCTTTATCTTGACAGCTCTAAGTGTGAAAGTCACTGGATATTTTTAGAGGAGAGAAGTGTGAGTGAGTAGGGCTTAGAAAGGAAACTCTCTGGGTAATAGGCTAAGTGGAGTCCCAGCCTCTTTCCTGACTACTCTCGTTACCTCTCTTCTCAGTGTCTCTGTCACTCCTTTTTTTAGACCTTCAAGAAGGCAAAGATCAGTGCCTGAGAGCAGATAGTGTCCTTACAGATGAGCAAGGGGGTGATGGTAGGTGGGTGGGGAGAGGCATCCAATGTAAAGCAAAGATTACTGGTGGCCTTGGACAGTCATTTCACAGTGTGAGCATCATCTATTGAAGAGCAGAGGAAGTATTACCTCCTCCTCTTGCCTTTTATAGTAGTTACTTTACATGTCCAACTGGGGCTTCCAGAGGAATCTCTCTGCCTTTCTTGCCATGAAATTATTTGTTGAAACTCTCAAGAAGATACTGGGGTCCTATAGCTGTAACTTTGTCCTGTGACAAGGTGATGAGAAAGCCTTGGCCTTGAATCAGTACATAGCTCTTCCTCCCTACAGCCTTCAGTGATCAGACTGCAGGTGGGAGGAAGGAAACACTGACTGAGGATCAGGTATATACTCAGCCACACTCACAGGCAGAAGAGCTTCTAGAACTACTATTTGTTTAAACCATATGCCAAATATTATGATAAATACTTAAATACTTTAAAATCTCCTTTAGGACTGGGGATGTAGCTCAAGCGGTAATG